AAAAACGCGAAGACAATTCAACATCACGATCCATTGAGAAGCGCTCGTCAGCTACGAGAGAGAAACGTCGAGATCGGACCAGCGATGATCATAACAGAAAGTCAAATCGTCGCACACGAAGTAGAAGCCATAGTCGCAGGCCAGAGCCAGAGATTAGAGCAAAGACCCCGCCCATGCCACCACTGCCACAAGCCAATAGCGCAGCTCAAGAGATTGACCGAGAGGAGCTAACGCCGCCACCGTTGCCCAACGCAACAGGGAAAGCCTTTGATATATTCGCCGAGTCACCGCCAAGACTGAAGAAAGCCAGCAGCCCAGCCAATAAAAAACAGCCAGCTGAAAAAACTGCCGAACCAAAAGCCGAAGTGCCTGCTGAGCGCAGCACAACGCCGCCGCTGGAAGATCTTCAATTGAAAACCCTATCCAGCTTAGAGCCTATCAAATCGACACCGCCGCAGCAGCTGAAGATGCACAATGAGATTCACATTCGCATTGGTGCACTGCTCGAGGACACAGATCTGCACTACGAGGCGCTGCTGGCCACGCGGGAACAGCTGCTGCGTAAGAGCACCGAGCACCGTAACAAAAAGGAAACATCCAAGGAGATGCACATCAAACAGGAGCCCATTGACCAAGAGGAGACTTCAAGAAGTCGCTGCACTCCGGAACCGCAGCAGGCACCGCCGCGGCACACCAATCCCTTCAAGCGTGAAACAGTATTATCAGATACATCCGGTCGTCTGTCGCCCAGGCGCTCCGTAGAGTCGTCACGTCACAGCATGCAGCGCAATGGCGATCGACATGGTAGTAGTCATCGCAACGGCTCTCGTGAGCGCCCCAGCGACGAGTTCAGAGAGCGCGTCATCAAGCAGGAGAAGAATCGTTCCAGCACGCCGCCGTTGCTCACAGCGCGGCAAATAAAGGTGGAGCGCAATGTGACCCCGCCACGAGACCGTGAAGCCGAGCGGGAGGTGCCGATGCGAAACGGAGTGGTGATTGCCAATGAGCCGCCGCCGCCGACGCAATTTAGCAAGAACCATGAGCACAGTCCTGACACGGATGACTACATAGACAACTGGGAGAACGACGACTCCATGGCGGGTGGTGATAGTAACACACCCAAGACTGCTGCCTTTTCGGCTGTTACTCGGTTTAACGGCGACGACGATGACTCGAATGCGCTGTGGAATGCCAATAGCACTCCACCACCAAAGGCCAAGCTGCCGCAGACGCCACAACAGGTACCGAGTGGAGTCGGAGCAGCCGTTGGCAATGACAATGCGCTGATTAACATTAACGAGCTGTACGACAAGTTCATGAAGAGTATTAAAATGGGCTCCAATGCAAACGAAGCAGCAGCAGCTGCTGCGAAAGAGCAGGCGACCACATCTAGTTCCTTAAGCAATTCCACTGCCGAAGAATCTTCCAGCGACACAGAAGCGACGTCCAGCAGTAGCAGCAGCAGCAGCAGCGACAGTAGCTCCGATGACAATAATGAAGATGATGATGATGACGAGGACGATGATGATGAGGATTCTAGCAGTGATGAGAATGATAGTGAGGATAAGCAGGAGCTGGGGCAGGAGCACCAGCTTATCAGCATGGAAGATGGCGAGCAATCACAATCCCAGACAGCGAGCGTGGAGGATGCGGTGGCTGACAAACAGTTAGCCAACCACAAGAAGAACAATGTTAGCAAGGATCTGCGCAAGCTCAAAAGTCTTGAGGACAATTTGGCGCGCATACAAATGATGCGCGAGAACTACGATTCGGGTGACGATCTCTGCGAGGAGCTGCTCAAAATGGAGTCGCTGTTCATCTCACAGCGCAATGCTATAATGAACAAATATCGCAAACCGGAACTAAAGACGAACGGCGAGGAGGAACAGCAGCAGCAACAAGTGCCGTTGCAGGAACAGCAGACGCAGGAACAGCAAGAGCAGCAGGAGAAGCAGGAGCAGCAAGAGCAGCAGCCACGGCCAGTGTCGCCAGTCAACAACATCTTTGATGCGAATCGTGAGGCCATCAAGCTTACAATTTCTCCTTTAAAGCTCTCCCGCAAACCCGCAATCTTCGACAAGGATGATGCCGATATAGCGCCTCAAGCGCTGGGCGATGGCAAGCAAACCAAGCCGCCCAAGGAGATAGCGATTGTAAAGCCCACCATTATGGATATGCGCCCCAAGACATCAAGGCCGCATTCGCAGACGCCACATCATCCTCAGCCACACCACCCGCTGAAGCGATCACGGACGCGGGAGCGCTCCCGGTCTCGTTCGATATCGCGGAATCGGTTTAGACGCAACATGCGGCCCAGTCGCAGCAAGGACTCGACACGTTCGCCCAGTCCGCGACGCCGTCGACCAATGCTTTCACCGCGTCGCGGACGCTTTGCCAAGTCCCGGCTGGGCATGGGTCGTAGCCGCAGTCGCAGTCGCAGCCTGAGTCGCAGTCGCACGCGCAGCCGCAGTCCGGTGCGCAGGCGACGCGTTAAGGTGCTGCCGAGACGACGTCGCAGCTCATTGTCGCCGCCCTGCAAGATGCTTGGTCCACGCTCTCCACCGCCGCCTTCGAGACGCCGCTCCTACAGTCGCGAGCGCTGCTACTCACGCTCTCCGCTTCCATTCAAGCCGCCGTCGCCGCCCATGCGACGCAGCTGGTCGCCGTCTCGGTCGCGTTCACCCTCGCGAAGACGCAGTCGAACGAGATCACCCTCCAGATCCAGATCGCCACATGGTCAGATGCTGGCCGATTACTTTGTGGAGAATCAGAGCATGGAAGCCGCTGCCTATTACTACAATATGTCACTGATGCAGCAGGATGCGAGCGGGGAGCAGTACGACAGCTATGCAGCTTACATGGACACCGCCTACAACATGGAGCAAGCCTATGCCCAGTACTCCGAGTACTCGGCAAACGCACCAGTTACGCCCATGGACTATGACTATGGAACGGGCAGCCTGATGGAGCCATCAGCGATACCCGTGCTGCGCGAACTGCCAATGGCTGCCACTACACCCGTAGCTGTGCAGAAAGGTAACGTACTGGAAATTGTGCCGTCTATGGACTCTGCTGTGGAGCTGACGACTCTGCCGCCTGTTGTGCCCGAGGAACCGCAAGAGGACAATAGGTATTCACACAAACAAGGTTCCCAATTGGGCTGTTTACTAAATTTATGCAATTGCAGCAAACCGAAGCGCAAGCGAGTGAACTTTGTGGACAACGTGTTGCCCAACTACGAGAGCGACAGCGAGGATCGCAAAGTTGTGGAGGTAGCAGTGGATCGTGCTGTGAGTCGCTACCGCGAGCGCTGTGCCGCCAAGGCGGCCAAGGTGCAGCGCATCCGCGAACAGCTGCTGGCCATGCCGCCCCCGTTGCCGCCCGTCGCGCCAAAACCGGCGCAAATGGAGAAGCCAGTTCTAGTGAAAAAGAAGCCCAAGTTCCGCTACTATCACTTTGATCCCATCAAGGGCGCAATTATAAAGTCACGCGAGCGCATGATACGGCCATCGCTGCAACATCCGCCGCCCCGCTTCAATCCCAAGTACATGGCCATGCTGGTGAAATCTGGACGCCTGCCGATGCCCGCCTTTATGCGACATCGGCCGCCGCCGCTGCCCGCACAAGCGGACGCCATGCTGCAGGAGTTCTTTAGTAAGCATCCGCCGCCACCGCTGCAAAATGTGTTGCCCCACTATTTGCGAGGACCGCCGCCCATGTCAGCCGTGTCAACGCCTCCGCCGCCCATTGCCTCACAGCCGATACCTGTGCTGGGAGCCCAGAGCTATTCGTGCTATCCGCAGACCCCAACGCCAGCTGTCACCCCAGCGTCCTCCGTTGTCACAACGCCAGTGCCTGTTCCAGTGCCTGTGCCTGTGCCAGTGCCCGTACCCGTGCCCGTGCCCGTTCTAACACGATCGCCGGTGCCATCGACGCCGCCGCCGCCGTCAGCATTGGTGCCCTCCTTCTTCACGCCGCCGCCCCTGCCCACATTGTCATCACATTTCACAGGACAGCCGGTGTCGACGATGCGAGAGATAATGCCCGTCGACATATTGCAGAAAATCGGGCCACTGCCCAAGACACTGGACCTGGACGGTTGCAATCCCGGCCTGGACGAGGCCAACAATGATCTCAACGAAGCCGAGACAGCGCCGCCCGTGGAAGCAACTGTCGATGGTCAGCCGCCGCCAAAGCTACTGGAAACCTAATAGCACCCATACATCAAAGACCATCCATCCCCTCAGTCAGCCTCAAGAAACCGGTTCCCAGCTACACTCGCACGTACTTAGAACCATCCACCACCAGCTGAACACATCATAATAAAATAGTTATTTAAGTTGTTACCTTGTAGGCCTACGCAGCAAACTAGACATATTTTTTTTTACCAATCCAACGAGCTCCTGGCAATTGCATCATCATGTTATATTCTTTTCTCTCTCTCTCTCTCACACACTATCTCATTCGATTATTAACAATCCCTCTACAATCAAGCGTAGTGAGCGAAATGCATTTATTGTTAAACATTTTTTATTAGAACTAAATCAGCATTGTGTCACATTTTACATTTAGTTCACTTGATTTCTACAAGAAAATAAAAAAAAATACAACCTGTAAATAATGCGAACGACTTGGAGCATATCGAGTCCAGCCTAGACCTAAGCAACATTATATAATGTATTTAACGAAAACTTTATACAAAAATTCTACAATTAAACGCAAATACATTGGGAGAGACACACGTCAATGTAATTAGACGATTTAAAAATGTCTTTCAATTGATAGTTCGGGATTTATTTTGGTAATTTATTATCTGACTATGTGTAATCTATGGGTAATCTAATATTAACACTTTCAAATGCCTAGAGACTTCCCACATTCTCATTCGCTTGGCTCTCTAGATCAGTTATGCAAGAGTCTCCAGTGATAATCTCTGTATATATTGACTGTAGACGTCCGAGAAAATTCTAAGCCCTTACATTGGAACTCTTGTTAGAGTCTTATTCTATATTCTGCTGATCACAATAAACGCTTTATTCAAATTACTTATTTAGCTTGTCCTGGGCAAAGGGAGCAATGTTGGCCGCATAGGCCATCAGGGCTGGTATCGTGGTCTGCTCGTAGTTGCCGGAGAAGAAGTGCTCGTGGGGGCCCGAGGCAAAGACGGCCACATCCTCGCCGCCATGGGTCTCGGACTTGAGTGGCACTGTGGCCTGGAACTGGAATTCGGCATCTTCGGTGTCCACATTCGACAAGTCCATGCGGCCATTGTCATCGTAGGTATTGGCATAGCCGGGTCCATTGGCATAGGAGAGAATGGTGAATGGCTTCTCATCGTCCGCCAAATTGGGAGCCAGTGAGAGGATGTTTTGGCGGCGATACTGCAATGGTATGAGAGCAATTAAAAGCGAACGGAATAGAATGGAATGAGTGTGGATCACGTACCGGATAGCCGTTGATGGTCATTGTGTGCGAGTGGTCGGAGGTGACAACGATGAGCGTGTCCTCATCCGAGGTGAGCTCGCGAGCCAGCTCCACAGCGCGTGCAAACTCTTCAGTTTCCTCGAGAGCTTTGCGTGCCTTCGTGGCATGGTGAGCCATGTCGATGCGGCCGCCCTCTACGAACAGGAAGTATCCCTCCTCGTTGCGGCTGAGCAGCTTGATGGCCGCCTCCGTCATCTCGCTGAGAGAGGGCGCCACATCAGTGCGCTCGGAGTGGTAGGGACAGTGGCTGACATCGAACAGACCCAGCAGATAGTCGGTCCTGGAGAGGTCCACATCGTGGAGTCCATTGCTCGACCAGACATATTTAGCCTCAGCGCCCTGCTGCGCCTTGTCCTGTTGCCAGTCCTTGATTAAGTCACGTCCGTCCTTGCGCTTGCCCGCGAAGCCCTCCTCATCCTTCATGCTCTTGTCACGGAAGTAGGCCCGCCCACCGCCCAGCACCACACGCAAGTCCCGACCCACTGGCCACTCCACCAGCTGGCGCGCAATGTCCACATTGTCGTCCGCACTGCAGCCAGCCGAGGTGACCTTGCCATCGTGCTCCCAGGCGCGGTCGGCCACATGGGCGTAGGCGCCGGCCGGCGAGGCGTGCGTGACACGAGCCGTTGTCACCAGGCCTGCCCACTTGCCCGCCTCCTGAGCCCACTGTGCAATGCTCTCCGTGTGCGTGGCCTTATCCGTAGCCGCCTTGCAACTGCCCCGCTTCACCTTGGCATTGACCCCAATGGTGCCGTAGTTGCCCTTCACCCCGGTCAAGTACGCCGTCGCAGTGCTGGCCGAGTCCGGAGTGCGCTCGTCCACTGCGTAGGTTTTCGAGAGACCCACATAGGGGAACTTCTCGAAGTAGACCTGCTTATTGCTATCGCCCATGAAGGCACGGGTGGCCGCAATCGTGTGCACGGACATGCCGTCGCCCAAAAACAAGATAATGTTCTTCGCACGATTCTCGTTCAGTTGTTTATGGACCGATAGCTTATCGGCCAGAATGCTCTGGGCCTTGTTGACCCAAAAGCGTGAATTCCGCTCCTCGTCCAACTCAACGTAGTCACGCGAGGCGGCCATGCGTGGATGTTGCTCTAGACGGGTTAAAAATACAAAAAAGAAAAGTTAAAACAGGCATCAGCGATACTTCTTATCAGGGCTAATTTAAAATTAATAATATGATTGGGGCTTGCCATGATTTACAACTAGCTGCATGGACTTCTGTTTGATTAAATTTCGCCTACTCACCATTCTCCTGCTCATCGGACAGATCTGCTCTGGCCGGACACGTCACCAGGGCGAGAGCCAACAGGCAGCCCGCTAAGTAAAAGCTAACCAAGCCTTTAGCCATTCTGCTGTAGTTAGGTCAACGTTTGGCGCTAGACTGTTGAGCCAGTGTGAGGCAGAGTTCGTTATATAGCCTACGAGTGGCCCTCTGTCAATATAATAATGTGAGCTGTAAATATGATTTGTTATTTTGATTTTCCTCAATCTAAAGTATCGATCGCACAGCTTCGAGTGCCGTTTTGACACCTGCAATAAAGAGCTGCCCATAAATAAATCAAATGCCCGAGCCCCTCGTATCATCACTTCACGACAGTAGTCTCGGCTAACCGTGGTTATAAAGCACCCGCTCAGCCTGTTTAGCGTACAGTATCTGGTGAACTATCGAGCTGAGAACCCAAACGAAATGCGGACAATTCAGTTCCTCGCAAGTCTCTGGCTATTGCTGCACTTGGCGGCTTGTGTCTTGGGTGGCGCAGTGCCCGTCCAGCCAGTGGACGACGATGATGAGGAGCGAATGCATCCCCATCTGCAGGCGAATCCACGGAGCGAGAGTCGCAGCAACGCCGAGAATACACAGGACTATTGGCTCTCAGCGAGCAAGGAGCACATTCTGGAGAAGCTAAACTTTGTGCGGAACACGAAGCGCGCAAAGAACATCATTCTCTTCCTGGGCGACGGCATGGGTCTGGCCACTCTGGCGGCGGCCAGGAGCTACTTGGGTGGCGAGGAGAAGAAGCTCTACTTCGAGAAGTTCCCCTTCACTGGCCTCTCCAAGACCTACTGTGTGGACAAAATTGTGCCCGACTCGGCATCGACCTCCACATCCTATCTGTGCGGCGTGAAGGCCAACTACGGCACGATTGGAGTCAGTGCGAACGTGAAACGTGGCGACTGTCAGGCCATGGCCGACAAATCGAACCACGTCTTCTCCGTGGGCAAATGGGCAATGGATGCGGGCAAAGCCGCCGGCCTGGTGACCACAACCCGTGTGACCCACGCCTCGCCCTCGGGCGTCTATGCGCACACCGCCGATCGGGAGTGGGAGAACAATGCCGTGCTGGAGGAGGCGTGTGGCGATCTGGCTAAGGATCTGGACGACATTGCGGTGCAGCTGATTCACGGCGAGGTCGGCAGCAAGCTGAAGGTGATGCTTGGCGGCGGCAGGCGTAACTTTATGGATCTCGAGTTTTACAAGAACGGCCGACGCACGGACGGACGCAATCTGGTCGAAGAATTCGAGGCCATGTCCGACCGCAACGTCTATGTGAAGAATCGCAAGAAGCTGCTCAACGTGGATCCCGCGACAACGGATCGCCTGTTGGGTCTGTTTGCCAAGAGCCATCTGCACTACCATGAGGAGCAGCTGGCCGATCCAGAGAACACGGAGCCCACGCTGGAGGAGATGACCCAGAAGGCCATTGAGGTGCTGCAGACCGAGGAGAACGGCTACTTCCTGTTTGTGGAGGGTGGCAAAATCGATATCAGCCATCACGACACGATGGCCCGCATCGCCCTGGACGAGACCGCCGAGCTGTCGAAGGCCGTGAAGCTGGCGCGCAAAATGACCAGCGAGGAGGACACCCTGATCGTGGTCACCTCCGATCACTCGCACACCTTCAGCCTGGGTGGCTACCAGCCGCGCGGCAGCGACATCTTCGACAAGGCCGAGGCCTCCGGCGCCGACGGCAAGCCCTATCTGGCCCTGAGCTATGCCAATGGCAAGAGCTTCGAGACCTACTACGATGTGATGGCGCACCAGCGTGTCGACCCCTTGCTGGCGGACAACGTTGATGTGGCCCAGCTGTTCCCAGCCACCGCACCACTGGAGTCCGAGACGCACGGCGGCGAGGATGTTGGCGTCTTTGCCTCAGGCCCTTGGGCCCACATCTTCACCGGCGTCTACGAGCAGAACGCCATTCCGCATATGCTGGCCTTTGCCGCTTGCGTAGGCGATGGCCAGACAGCCTGTGATTGATTGACAGCTTCAATTGACCATTAATTCTAATTAAATGTCGCAGTCCTTGGCGGCGATAGCAAACGATTCTCGAGCATGCCTTATCACTAAGTAGGAAACACTGAGATTACTGTGGGTGAATTTCCGAACGTCATCAACTGGGTTTTGGAAATTTGATTTTTGTTTTGTTTGGACTTGACATATCTGCTAAATAAATTGTGTTTTTGATATAAGTAATTCCACTCGCACTTACTATCTCCCAATCAAGAACTTTACTTAAAGGCTATGACGCAGCACATAGTCGAAAAGTTAATTATACGATGTGCTGAAGCTGATGCACTTTGAGGGATTTCGTTAGAAATGATTTGCCAATTATATTATTGCCAGATTTAATGAATGATTGAATAAATACTTGGAATTATAATATGCACTACAATGGATTTATTTATACATACATCAATTACTTTGATGTAGGTAATTATATATTGGCAGGATCACTGACCTCATCGAATTTATCGTGAAGTCCTAATCGAGCTACGAGACTTTGCTACTGCAAAGGTTTCGTTTCTTGTCAAGATCAAGATATTGAATTCCTTCCATTTGTCAGAAGTGGCCGATGTAGACCTGCATGATTAGGTTATCTGGAAGCACTACATGAAATACAATTATTTCGTTACCCTCCATAAATCAAAAATTCTATCACGTGAATATGCGCATGCTTCGAGCTGAACACGCTTTGGTTATAAATATATTCGATCCTATAAATATATTCCAGCGACAGTTATATGGTATTCACGTGTAGATCTCTGATGTCTACATTTTGTGCAATCAACTGTGACACGACACTAAATAATATTCCCAAGACTCCGACTGCGGAATTTTCGAACAAACAACTTTTCCAATCCAAATCTAATCGCCTGCAGTAAACTATACGGATTAGTTGAATAAATCAATTAGGGCCTTGGAATATATATTGGCTTTCTTTTGTTTTTCAAAACAGTCCATTAAATTTATCTTCCCATAACTGTGAAAAGAATGTTTTTCCTTAACAATTATCAGTGCATGTTTTATTTATTATAATGAAGGGCGTAAATCATATAGTTTAGGGAATGGCGGCATAGGGCTGATCGTCCGACTTCGGTTGTATCAGGGAGGCGTACTTCTCCCTCAGATCGCTCAAGGCACGCTGAAAGCTATCCATGCTGTTCTCCAGCTGCTTGTTGGAGATTGGTTCACTTTTGGCTGCTCTCACTGCGGATGACTCGCCCAGCAGGACACGACGCCAGTCGGCGGCCTCGGAGTTGCCTCGTACCGCTTCATTGGCCTCCGCATTCTGGCCAGCTGCGAACATTGCCTCATCTACTCCTCCTGCCTCGGGGTGCTCACCGGACGTTGGTGGTGTGATTACTGGGATTGGGTCGGCTGTAGGTACTGCACCTTGTTGCGCCAGTTGCTCTTGGAAGTTGGTGGGGAGAATTTCGTTCAGCTCGCTCCTGGAGTTCTCTATGCGCACCAATTGGCCCTCGGGTGTGATTCGGAATAGATGAGCACGACCATTGTGGACAGATGGTATGACAATGAGATTACCGATTGCTGTAGAGATGCCCTGCCCGTATGGATTGGGTCCACCATGTCCAAATCCAGGACCTATTGGTGGTCCACTTCCAAACGGACTATATGGACAGGGAAAGCAGTAGCCCGGTGGTCCTGGTGGTCCAGGCAGGCCCGGAGGACCCATGATGGGTGTAAAAGGACCACCAAAGGGCCCACCTGGCCCAGGTGGAGGATGTCCCCACATGCCAGGGAAAGGTCTACTAATACCGGGAGGACCCATAAGTCCCGGCAGACCAGGCGGTCCCCGCGGACCAGGTGGACAGTTGCAATTCAGTAACGAGGCTCCGATCGTGGCGCAAAAACCTTATAGATGACTCAATATTAATTCTGATAATCCACCTCATCCATATATCCTTTGAAACTTACCCAACACCAAGAGACTTATCAGGCTATGCGACTCCATGTTGTCTCAATGTGATCAATGTCGACAGCATCCGCTGACTGACTTACGACAAGAACTAGGCTTACGTATTTATATCAAGAGCTCAGCTGAGGAGGACCAACAAAAATGTTGAACAAGTTTTGGTAATATTCGATGAGATTTTAGCTCTTTTTTGAATGTATGCATATATGTATGTAAATGAGTAGAGCATATTATCCAGATGGGCTGCTGACTGCGGGCCCATAACATCAAGAGGCAGTGCGGCATACTGAGAGAAAGGTAGATATATATGTAGATAAAGAGTGTAAAAGAGGGTTGAGCCAGAGACATTTATTATTTTTTATGTTGGAAAATATAAGCGGCATGCCATCTAGTTTGTGTCAATCAGCAATGGTAAAACAGGTAAACAAAATGTATCTTAGAACTAGGTGGGATTTTAATGGGTGCATTGACTATGAATGAGCTTTGATTGAAAAGAATAGATATTTTTCCACACTAGAGGAAAAACAAGAGGAATAATAGGTTTCACTACCAAAAGTCTTAAGAATGCTCGAGCGCCGTTACTTACATGCACATACACACACCTCGAATATTCTAATGGCAAGTGGAACACGAAAAACCCAAACGCACTTTTCATTAGCATAAATTAGGGCGAACGACACATATCACTTCGTCGTGCATATAAATGTTCTATTAGAGATACATATACATATGTATGTATGTACATGCATACGGTGTCTTCTTATCAATTACAGGTAGAGCGTATACGAACATGGCTAATCTTGAGCGTGGAAGCACTTTTGTAGACATACATATGCAGACCCCGTTCAGCACGAGGAGGCACGGCGCTGAGCTCGAGTGCAATTTACAGATTGTCAGCCAAAGGCAAGGGGTAGGAGCAGAGTGCGGAAGCAGCTATCGACTTGTATTGGCTGAGAGAGCGTAGTCTTCTTATCAATCCATTAGACTTGCCATGTTCGTCGAGCTCTTCAGTTAGACAAGTTTTAATTGCCCGATAAAGCTTCGACATTCTCTAAATAACGAAAAGAAAATTATAATCTTGTGATAATGGGACTTCGATTGGAAATCTCAAGTAGGCTCCATTGATAACCATCTGCTTTAAATTACATTGAGTTCATAGACTTTGGTTTTATATGTTGATTTATTAATTTATATTATCGACTATTGCTAATCAGCACATTACTGCAATGTATATATAAACTTAATTGGCGCAAATAATTTGAAGTCACATTTGCAATTGCATAGATTTGATAAGTTTCTAGGCATATACATATGTATATATCTATATATGATATTACAATATAACTGCTGCACACACACACACTCACGCACGCACGCATCAGCACATACACCTGCATAGTATATGTGCCACATATTTACATATACATAGATAAATTGAGGGGCGACAATTCGGCTTGGTTTGGTATCGTTGGCGTTGCTTTCTTTGATTTTGGTTACCTCGTTCATATTTAATCGACACCAATATGAGAAACTCGTAAGAACATTGATTGACAAATATAAAGAGCAAAATGAATGTATATATATATGCATATAAACACAAAAGGCAGGGGTCAACTAAAGGACTACATAATAAATACAGTTGTAAATGGTTTGGATTGAAATCTACAGCCGCACAATTTTAGTCTATTTTCACATTGGAATAGATTTTACGCACAAAGAAATTCGTGCCGACATAGCCGACGGTGCCACAAATGATGCCCAAAGCGCCACTGAAGAGTGCCATATAGCCAAAATAGAACGCCGTCTGGAATAAGCCGAACATTCTGTAAAAGAGAACAAATTAATATTTATAAAGATGTTGACAAAGATTAAGTTTAAATCTATAATACTCACTTGGTCTTAAAGAAGAAGTAATAAAATGAATATGCGTAGACGTAAATCGACGTGGAGCCAGCGGCCATAAAGCTCGTCCACTGCCACCGATAATCCTCGGCATTCAGCAGAAAATAGGTGCACACAATGGTAACACAGACGGTGACCACGGTCAAAATGGTAAAGACGAGCAACATAAAGCCATAGACATAATAGATTTTGTACGCCCAGAATGAGGTGAAGATGAAGTACCTACGGATTCAAAAGAGAACAGACTAAGCTAACAGAGTTCTGAACAATAAATGAATTCATTAAACCATACATTTCAATGAAAATGGAACCAAATGGTAACACGCCGCCCAGCAGCACGATAATGAATGGTTCCATGTACCATTTCTTCTCTGGTATGGGCCTGGGTACAGCATTGACGCGACAGGGGAAATCTGGCTGGCCATCCAAATTCCGGCCCACCACTGTGCCCACGAGAGTCAGTGGCAATATGACGAACAGGCAAATGCAGGTGACTGCCACCATTGTGCCAAAGGGTATGGCTCGCGATGCATGGTAGCCGATCGCAATAAAGTTGATGAAGAACGCAGTACCACATACAGCGACGGGCACAGTGAAAGCCGAGGCGAGCATCTGACGTATCCACAAACGACCGCCCAGCCGAGCGTAAAGCGAGCCACCAAAATAGCCATTAATAGGTGACGTTGCCGCATAAACAAAAATAGCAGTTGAGAGCATCGAGCCACGTCTACAAAACAAATATTATAGAGACTGCGGTGAATATGTGTTTAGGCTGTTTACTTACTCCGTATACAGTTCACCAACGATGGCAAACATTATCACACAAAAGACAACCGAGATTAGCTGGTAGCCGGCACCAACGAGGGCCGAGAAGAGTAGAGCATGAGGTGGCGACCGGAATACATCGCCATGCACCTGTTTCCAGCCATATTCATCGCCCAGGTCACGTTCCATATCATCTACCTCCTCATCCTTACTGTACCGTGCATAATCCTTTCGCAGGGTGCGCATCAATATCATGGAAACCAAACCCACCAAGAATATGACCATCATGAAGCTATTGAAGATGCTAAACCAATGTATCTATGCACAAATAATATATAAAATTAATAATTTGATAAACGGCGTAGCCATATTAATTACCCTGTGCTGGAAAAAGTTTGGATCCAGATACTTGTCGAAGCGATTCTTGAACTCAATTTTGCTAGGTTTCCAATTGACTTCATAGGAGAATTTGATTTTAGCATCTGTCTTCAATTCTTCCCGCATTTCCGTTGTCAGTGTGATGTCCACGATTTGCTGGCCATTATAGCCAATATCGAATTTCTTGTGCGTGTGTATATAATATTTGCCATCGTTTTCATCACGTTCGCCCACCTTTCCCCATATGGGCAAGCCATCGATATACATCTGATACCAGTATTCATTCATTACGGCATATTTAAATGCTTTGACATTCTCCTCGGTTAGTTTAACCATGCAAATGACCGTGCGCTGAACATCTGTTTTGAACTCCATTTCATAACCGCTAAACTCCAGCTCAACGCCCTGCAGAGCCTCGCTTAGAGTTTCATGGTAATGAGATATACTCGACTTGGCACCACTGCAGAAGGGCAGCGAGAAATACGCATACGTCTCCTGGCGATTGTGATAGGGACCGACCGTGTTCATCCATAGTACAACTTCTTCTCTATCATTATACTGCAAGAGTTCGTTGCGTTATATACATATGCATAAGTACACATACAACAGATGCATGCAGTCACAGACACAAATACAAATACAAACATACCTTATGATTGTGCTCGTCGGCCGACACCGACACGTAGCAGATACTGGAGAGCAGACATAAACAAATTAGAAAGACTGGTGACGTGCCCATGACTGAACTTAATTTTGTGGTCGTTCTAATGCTGGGTCGGCTGCTGGCCAGTCGACGTTCCTTTCCAGGGTATATTTTGTTAAACAAAAACGGAAGAATTAAAATGAAATATTTGTGATAGCTTCGATTGAGTAGTGTTGGTAAATCTTTCGGATTCTGAATATGAATCGATAAGCCGATAATCGTGAAGTTATTGGAATTATTCAAACTCTTTGACCGGATTTTGACTTATCAGCATATTAATTTGAGCGTGATGTACATATATAAGTATGTATAATTTGCAAAATTATTATAAGAAGCATTGTCATTTAAATATGAAAATAAACAACTATTAAGATAATCATATTTGAAAATATCGATTTACATTGATGCTGAACTGGTCCTATTGAACTAAATTGTGAACCAGAATTTAACAGAAAACTTCACGACTTAGTGAAATGCGGTCACATTGCTCGGGTTAATAAATACAAACGCCTTTTTAATTAATTTATTCAACTTGTTTAACTGAATTTAACATTATTACATTAAATCAGTTCGAAAATGAGTAATATGGAGCTGGGCATTGAATTGTTTTCGCCAGAGACTCTCCTAAAAACGGACACAGATATGGGCAACGTAGATGACACGATGGCCAGTTCCAGCAACAAAGTGCTGACCGCCAAAGAGGATGAGCTCATATCCATGGAAACGCTCAGAGAATCGCCAGTGCAGTGGCCAACGCGTTTTCCGGGCATGGATGAATTTATGACCATGAGCCAAACACCAATACACACTCCAAGCTCTGAATGCACACAAAACTTGACCAGTGCAGACAGGGCGAGGATCACTCGTAAGCTGAGCGGCAGACTCTTGGCATTCGATCACCTATTTGATCTCCTTATACCTTACAGAGCTGGCTAGTCTAACACCCGAGCAGTTGATAGAGAAGATTAAGACAATGCATGATGAGATCTATCAACTGGGCCTGCGCGAATCCAAGGAAATGACACGAGGCAAATTGTTGGGAATATTTGATCGAATGGCCAAAGTGAAGAAATAATAAGCAGTTAATGTTTGTTGCCTGTATTATATAAAGTTAATTTTACTTCGATTTGCATAAACATGTGCTTATACGTAGCCTAAATTTAATGCATATTAATATTTTTGTAATAAAAAGAGCAATTGTTAAATCATTACATTTCATTCATTAACAAGTGCAACGTTAAAAACACGATTAACTCGATAAACGATTAAAATTCCTAGAGATTAGGGACGAATTCTATTATCGATGCCGTATTTTCTTGTTGATGTGTCCACTCTTCTTGGCCGTCGCACTCGAGCTGGAGCTCAATTTGCTTTTTGTGTTGGAGGTGGGTGTGCCGGGGTCTTTGTTGCTAGCAGCGCCTGCAACGCTAACCGAATCGTTTCGATGTGGCGAGTCTGTAAATGTGCGAAATGTGAATTAATTTACTTAAATATAACTGGTATATAGAATTTCATGCTAAACCTTTTGTTTTACTTCTTAAGTTAACTTATAGTTCTATGGGTTTATTGATATTTGATATTCATATTTATCACAGCACGCCAACGATCTTCATCATTTTTAACTTGGGTTAATCGATCACATAGAAATCGCATACGTCTGCTTCCCAGGCCTTACCCTTTTCATCCTGCGATTTAATTGATGTAGCTCCATCGTGTGCGGTCGTTGTGTTTTGGTTGATTGAGATCTGATTATCGCTGGAGTCTTCATTCGTTATGGAATCGGATTCGCTTGCACGCTCGGCTACAAAAAATTATGATTACAATTTACTTTAAAGTATTACGTTTTACGTACGATTGCATATAGCCATTGAGGTAATGCTAGATTTCGAGAACAATCGCTCAGCGTCTTTGAATTTACGATTGCGCTTGTCGGCCTTCGAGTTTGTGGCCTTGTTAGAGGTCAGGTAGCGTTCCCAGCCGCGTATAATGTTGCCGCACAATTGTGTGTCCTCTAGGTAAGAGCCCTCGAATGCATAAATCTGACGCTCTAGATTGGCCAATTGTTCCTGTGGATTATTAGGTGTACAGCTGTAGTTATATTTCTGACAATGTTTGTTTGTTTATCTGTTTGTTACCGAAGTCTCAGCTTTCTTCTTGATGAGGTCTGCCAACTCCCCACGCGAATCCACGGTGCCGCCCTTGGCAGTGGAATTAGTTTTGGTAGACTTTTTTGGTTTGTTGCTATTATTGTTTGTTTCGCTAATATGTTTACTCGTCGGAGAACTCATTTTTTGTTTGTTTAGAAGCGTTTTGTTTATATTTTTTCTACGCGATATGTATTTTCAGCTAGTTGTGTATATCGATTCTACGAAGAGTTACTCAGAACTGTGGCGGTTTGTCGATAACGAGTATGTGCTTTACTCAATTTATCGTTGTTGAAGCAGTTGTTTGCATGTTTGTAACCTAGATGGCGCTGCTATTTCTAGCAGACCGTTCATTTTGAATGCATGCGAACAGTAATATATACAAAAAATCAATAATTGCTGAATACAAATGCCAAAGTAAACAAATTCAAATTTTAAGCCTTTGCAAGATAGATTCTTTGAAGCTTCAATAAATATACATGTGTAAATTGATTGTATTGTTAAGTGGAAGTCGCTATGGGGGCATTCTACTTCAAGCTTCCATTACAATGCCCCTTTTAACATTCATAGGTGTTTCGAGTGGCTCTCTGCCATTGACCTCTTGCGTCGGTTGTTTAATATGCGTGCATATCAAACAATAGCCACGGCAGCTAGCGCCATTACCAACATCATCATCCGTAGCAGCAACAAGAGATGATCACTGTGGCTTCCACAGTTTATTGACCCAAGTTCTTTCTAAGCTGTTGCCCGAAAAGTTTGTTGAACTCCCGAAAAAAGTGAAGCGCTGCTTCCATCATCATCTGCCGCTACCGGCGCTGCGTAAGCTTGCGCTCCCTTTCGCTGCTAGGCGCTTGACTCTCTTTTACTTTTTACCATTTCGCTCTCACGCAGCCACACACACTCACACAAATACGAACGTACATATATTTAGTATGGGCACCTTTGGCTATTTCACTTTTTAAGAGCCTCGTCATAAGCGGCGTATGCGTGATTTTATTTTATTGCGCTTTTCTTACTTTTCATATGGCCATCTAAGGCGCAGACGAAAAGCAAATCCAGCGCAAGTAGAAAACAATATCGCGACAGCATTAGAAAATGAAATCACAACGAAAATCAAAATGGCAACGACCGTTGCAAAGTGTTGCAGCCAGCCGGTAAGCAAAGTCTGCTTCCACGTCTGACTGGCTAACTGACTAACTGACTGACTGACTGACTGATTGACTGACTGACTGGCGAACTGCCTTCTATGTGTGTCAAAGATTGGCGCGCTAAAACTTTCATTTTATTTAAACAAACACACACAAGGCGCGGCTTGGGCGACTTGGAAAAACTTATTTTCATTTGGTTTTGTTTTTGTTTTTTTTCTGTAGTAAGTAAGTAAAGAGCCCCCTCTGCCACGCCCTCTGCATCTTCTTGTTGTTCGCCAGGCCAATTGACTGCAGTTTACAATAATTTTTATGATGAATTGCATGGCCGCGTGTGAAATCTGCTGCGGCCACTGAGGAAAAGTGGAAAACTGCCAGAAAAGTGGAACACAGCTAAAGAAGCGACGACTGCGTAGCCAACAACAACAACAACAACAACTCAAACACTCTCGACTAATTAGCTGCGTTTTAGAAATTCAGCGGCAATGAAAACAAAATCGAGTTCAATGCTTGCAACGATGACGCTGCCGCTGCTGCTGTTGCTACCGTGTTGCACATGTTGTTGTTGTTGTTGTTGTTGCTGCTGCTGTGGCAACTTGTTGGCTTTGCTACGTTTTCGTCAGTTCCAAGAATCGTACACATACACACACACACACACGCACACGCACGCATACTTTTATGCAGTTGCATATAGCACACATAGTTTGTTGCCATCGTTGAGGAAGACGCGCGCTTTCCACCGCGAGTGAAAATTAGCTGCGTTTTGGGCAGCAAATGGAAAACTTTAGTAAAATCGCCATACAAATACAACAACCAAAATGCATAAAATTTAAACATGCAAAATAGGATTGCGGGTGTGTTGAGGGAAGGGTAGGCGCAAGGGGGTCGAGTGTCAGGCAACGTTGGCAGTGACATCATAACAGATTGACTGACAAACACACAAATGCACTTGCCATAAAGCACACTCACAAACACACACACACACAGGCCACTTACACTCTTTCACATAGTCAGCTTATGCAAAAGCTACTGCATTGCCGCTCTCTTAGTTGCGCTCTCTTGCGCTCACTCTCTTTACAGCTGCGCCGCAACAGCTCTACAGCGCAAAGCTCTAGTTTTTGTTTGTGTGCACAAATGCCGGAAGAAACTTGATCTTGATTATTTTCTATGCAAGCCAATGAGCACACGTGAGCGAGTGAGCGAGCGCGCGAGTGCGCAAAAAGTTCAAGTTGAATGTCGCTGTCGCGGCCATTGCTGCTCGCTCGCTCGTGCTTGCGCTCACGCTATTGCTCTCCCTCTCCCATTCGCCAGTGCTGTTGTGTGTGTGCCTGCATTCAATTGTTGGGGCGTCACAATTTGCTCTGCTTTTGTTGGCATTTGCTTTTATTTGCTTGACTGTGTGTGTAACTTGCATGTATTTTTGTTCTAAGCCTTTAGAGCTTTCGTAATTGTTTTTCTCGTGCAACTTTGCGTGCATTCGCATTGAAAATATATTGAAAAAATATAGAAATTTGCAATTGTGCAATGTGAACTGTACAAATAAATATGTATTAATAATATTAATATTCATTTGGGAATTGGATATAATGTTGCATGCAGTAAAATAAATAAAATATATACAGCTTTTCGTTATCACGAATACTAACTGTAGATAATCATATCTATTAGTATATAATTAAATAGTAATCCTATACAAACAATATAGCTATAGTTTGGACATGATTAATTCTTTATAGTATAGTCATATCTATTGTATATAACATATATACATACATATGCAGCTCTTCTAAATAAACATTTGAGCATTATTCCTGGACTCTTCCGCTATAGTCTTGACACTTGAGACTTAACACTTGACGCTTAACGACTATTTGATCTTCTCACCTCTAAGTGCTGTCATACTCCAAGACAATTTACGCAAGCAGCATCATAGGTACTTAACTGTTCGGTCACCGAACTCTGAGTAAGTAATTAAAAATAAGAGGCAACTCTTTTTTTTAGCCGAAAAACTGTTTGTCGACCAACAAAGAAAAAATGAAATGCAATCAAAGTTAGGTAAGAGAACTGACCTTAAACAATGCTGCACAGATCGGACATCAGATATCGCATATGTCTGCTGGCGCACACATATGCCACAGATCAAATACAAAACACATTCACCCAAAAAAAAAAACGTCGCCAACAACAGCAAACATTCCTTTTCAAGAGACCCGAAACAAAGATTTTCTGGCAAAGAAAACCAAACGAAAGCCGAGCTCTGAAAAGAGAAAAGCAATCAAAGCGCAGCAGAAATGGAGCCAAAAAGAAAAAGCCTAAGAAGCGGTTAGCTGCAGAGAGCCAACAGGCGGAATAGTGAAGAGCATAGAGCATAGGAAAGAGAAAGAGAGACAGAGACAGAGAGAGGCTAAGGCTGGCGAATGGAGTGCACGAGGCGAATGAACTTTGCGGCAAGTCGTCGCTGGCTGCGTTGGCATGAAAGTTATGCAACGCACACACACAAACACACAAACACACACACTCACACACATAGAGCAACACCAGCATAGAGCTGAGCGCCATGGTGAGCGCAGCTTTGCTTTCGGCTCAGCGCGCGAAACAAGTTAACTGTTTTTCTTCGGCCTCGCGTTAAGCGCTTGCCTGCCAGACAACGACGACGCTGACGTCGACGTCGTCGTTGACTTTGACTAGCCGCTAGTTTTATGTGAGTGTGTGTGCGTGTGCGTGTGTGTGCGTGAGTCGTTGACTTTGCATAAGTGTGCCAATTTATGAAACGGCATGGCCTTCAATGCAACAAGCTAAAACACAGATAAGCGAGCTTGGAAACATGCGAGAGCTTTCGCGTGAGCTTTGATGTTTCATTTACTGTTTCAAGTACTCTAAAACATTTACTGTTACTTTTGATTACAGCTCCGTTGTGGGACCTTAACGAATGCATTCTAAACTATGAAAGGCTCGATGCAGCCCAATTCTATGAGCCGCCAGCGCTTTGTGCATCACGAATTTGCCACGTTTTGTTTGCAACTGCAACTGCAGCAGCAGCAGCAGCAGCCGAAGCAACAAGAAGCCGCAACGTCAGCGCTGCATTCAGCATGCAGCAAACATTACTGTACATTCACCCACTTTTCAAAGTTCAAACACACACACATACACACAGACAGGCACATAGACACGGCAAACGTTTCGCTAGAGAAACAGAAATTGCATTCTAGACGCGCTGCAAAAAAAACCCGAGTTGCGCATGCGCAGCGATCGAGCGTGTATTAGTGTGTGTGTGTGTGTGTGTGTGTTGCAGTTACAGTTGTTGCTGCAATAGAAAAAAACTGCTTTCTCTTGAGGCCAAAATAAATTCAACGAGTCTATTCGCAATATTGTGGCAGCATCAAATGAATAGACCATTTCAAAAGTTGTCTAGAACCAGCAAGAACTTGTCTAAATAAATTCTATGTAAAGTGTTTTGGGGGGGATTAGAGTAATACAAAATTAATAAATTTACCTACTTATGAAAGAAGATGAAGGAAAAGTAGATATACGTAGTTAAAAAAAAAGTTAGTTTAAGTAAGAGTGCTATGTGATTGGACAATAGTTGGAGCTATTGCTCGAGCTGCTGCTGCTAGAACTCTATTTAAGTTTCCTTTGATACACAAATATCTGATTTAAATTTGAATTTAAGATTGCTATATTTAAGCCTATTTAAGAATTCTGTGGTTTCTTCGATCTATACATATGCATATATCTAATATTTGCTTGACTTGTTTTGTTGGCTTTTAGCTTTGTTTTATATTTTTTCTTAAATTGTTTAACATATTTTCGGATAAATTTGTATGACTAATGACTTTCTAGTTGAAGTTTAAAGAACTTTATGTCTTAATACTTGTTTTATAAACAATAGAATATAAAGAATGTTTCTGAACAATGCTTTGAATGCTGTATTGTTTATGTCAAATATCTCATAAGCCCTAAGGCTTACGTCTAAGTCTCCTTCATTCTCATTAGTTCTATAATAAAACAGAATTGTATAAAGAAATATATAAAATAATATATTTTTATTTATATACAACAATACAACAATAATTTTTAATATAAATTTTCAACATAAATAATTCATATCAATCAGAAAACAAATGAAATTGTAAATCAGCTTAAATCAATAGCCAATGGCTTGCCACCTGGCGCAGGCACTAAATTTTGTTGTCTCTCCGTACAATAGAATTCGAGCCACGTTAAAAGCAAAAAAAGAAATGTGGAAAATTGCAATGCGAAAATCTCTGCCCGTGTGAGTGAGTGTGTGTGTGTGTGAGCAAAATGTACGGTTATAATGCACTTCAACATTTCACTTACTGCAAAAGTTTGTTCTCTGGCTCTGCTGGCTGGGCTGTTGCATGTTACTGCTGTCACACACACACACACACATACACAGCGTTGCACTCTCTGGCCTGCTGCAAAAGCACCGTTAGGCGAGTGTTTATTACGCTCCTGTTACAGCATACAAAAGCGGCCAAGTCAAGCGCGAGGCGGGGGCGCTTCGACTTTGACTAGCTGCGCTGCGTTGCCAACTGCAGCAGATTCTTTTTTGTTTTTTTTTTGTTTTGCTGCAACGTTGCAGTTCATATGTAATTTTCATATCTGGCCTGAAAGGAAATTGGTTTTTTCGCCAAAAGAAAAGTGGCGAGTCGACCAATCGGCCCAATGACCGCTGGGCGAACGTTCCAATTGCAAAAGTTCTACTCAACTCTCCCTCTCTCTCTCTTTCCCTCTGTGGTCGCTGTGTGCAATGCAATCGAACCCAGCGATCACTGTGCACTCGGCAATTTCTTTTTAGCCATGGCCTTTTCTAATGCTGCCAGCAGAAATATAATTTCAGTTATTTGCCAGCTCAGTTCCTCGACTGCAACTGCGACTCGCTCTATGCGCATGCGCATAGAACTTCCGGGACAGCTAGCTGAAAAAAAAAAAACAAGAACTAGCAAATCAAACTGGCAAAGGTAACTAGTGAATGCCCTAAGAAACTATTTAGGGGAAAACATTTGTATTAATTGTGGATATTCTATATGAAAACTGAGTGGGAAAAGCTTTTGTGAACAGAACTCTGAAAGAGTAAGGAAGGGTTTGCGTGGTAATTATCTTCATAGAATCAAGCGCTTGCATAGATAATCTTTCTCTCTGAGTATTTGAAAAGCTAAACTTTCTTCATATAACAGAATATCATATTATACTTAGCATTGATTTTAAGCTCAGTGAATAAAATATTATATACTTCAAAATATTCCTTTATATTAACTACCTGTCTCTCTCTCTCATAGCTTATAGCTCATAGTCTAGTTGTTGTGGCTCTACCTCTGTTAGTGTATAAAAAGGCCAACTAACTCTAACAACAGCTACGATGGCGATGACAGCAACAACAACAACAACAACAACAGCAACAACAATAACTGCGATTGCTGCAACTAAGCGCAGAATTAGGTCACTGGGAATATTTTTTTTTTACATTTTTTTTTGTTCTTTTGCTCATTTTGTGCAACGCTGTTGTTTTTTGTCTACTTTTTTTTTGCTGCCTCTTGACTGTTGTTTGTGGCTAGAATTTATTCTTTTTACTGTTTTGGTTTATAATGGCGCTGAGTTTGGCAACGTGCAACGCGGGCTTATTGAGTGGCTTTGAGAAATATTTGACGGTAATTTTCAATTTGCTGCACAGCTCACAATTTATGCCTGCCGCAAGGCAACCCCAAAAAAAAGAAGGCAAACCAAAGGAGGAGGCGAAGAAGAAGAAGTGGCAAGTTCACATTGCATTAAATAACATGGCGCACACAATTTTGTGGTCAATTGTGTGACATGGAATGCGTGTGGCATTAATAGAGTCAAAGTTGATTCTAATGCAAAGACTTACGAATAATAGAATAAAGATTTATAATATTATAGATAGCTTGAAAATAGATAAATAAAATCATAATAATGATAAAAATGCTGTGATAGGAATTGCAATTGCTGTAGAAAATCAAACTCTAAAAAAAAAGCTGAGACCAAATAGATTCTCCTTTTATTAATAAGGAAAAAAAGCTGAGCCCACATAGATTAATAAATAATAAATCCACATTTTATTAATAAAGTAAGTAATAAAGAAAGGAAAAACTAAAAGGAGAGATATTCAATATCAATCTAAATTCTTCATTTGGTCTGTTCTTTTGCCACATAGATGTAGCTAATCAAAATGTTTAGTAGCCAAATAAATTTAATTAAATCTTTAATTGATTTCATGGCAATTCTTTAGACGCTGAGCCCTAACTAAATGCCGTTAATTGATTGTTGAATTGAAATGCCTTTTGCAATGATTAAGAGGAAAATGGGAGAATGTTGATGAGAACTTTAGCCTCAACTACAACAACAAAAACAACAACAATCAGCAAGACAACAGATTTTTCGCCAGCACAGCGCATTGCGCCTTTCCCTCAATAATTTTCTTGGAAATATTTCTTAGACCGGTTTCATCTTTGCTAAATGGCAAACATTGCAGAATTGTTGTGGCAGTTGCAGTTGCAGTTGTTGTTGCTGTTGCTATTGGCTAAAGAACCGCGACGTCGAGGCAGCGCAGCTACCGTTCAGATACTGTTATGTTCTGCAAAATGCATCGCAAGCTGCGAGAAGCAGCTGGCCTCTCTCTCGCACGATTTCTGTGTGTGCGGCTCCTTTCGCTGTGCTTTTGCACACATTTTTCAAATGTAAGTTACTTGCGGTCATTGGCTTGAGCAGCTTCTTATGCTGTTGCTGTTGTTGCGACTGTTGCTGCTGCCGCTGCTGCTGCTGTCTCTTCAGCTGCATTGGCAACTGTCCGCATCGACTGCACTGCACGCTTGGAGGTGACTCGCGGCCATTGTACCGATTTTGTTTGCCATTAGATTCTATGCGAAATTGGTTGTGGCTGGTTCTGGTTTGGATTTGGGCATTGCTTAACCATAAGCTGCCCAATCTTGCGGATCTGATTGGAGTTATTTCAACCGTGCACGATGGCAACGCCCAAACAAAAGACTTAGGCAACGAACTTGCCAGAACCTCGACTTGGACGTGGACTTGGACTCTGAGTTGGCGCATGCAAACATAAGAAGCAGCAGAGTCACAAACGAGAGCGTCGGCGTGCCGAAGCCGAAGCCTAAGCAAAGCTCGACTCGACTCGCTTCGGCTCGACTCGCCTCGTCTCGTCGCATCTGTCGGCTGTCGGCAGTCGGCTCGGCTCGGTTCAGTTCGCTGTCGCTATCAGCCAGTTCAACGAACCTGCGCTCGAATCTAGGCTAAACATTCTCGCGCTGACGTGCAATGAAAACGAAAAGTACCGTAAGCTAACCGCTACGAAGCGGAGGCTTCTGGAAGACGCGGCCAGAACATTGAACGTGCAGATAGAACGACCAAGAGAGAGAGAGAGAGGGAGAGTGGCCGAGAGAGGGAGAGGGGCAGCGAATGAGCGGTTAGGAAGACATTTGATTAGCAAGCGCTTCGCTCAAAAAGAGGGCGGGTGTTGTGTAGCCAGGCGGGCATGCGGCATGCCTGTGTGGCAGGGCCCGAACGTGACGTTCTGTTGTGCCACATAGCACACGCACACACATATACATATATAAAATGAAGAGTGTGTGTGTGGCTGCTAATCAAATGCGCGACTTTTCCGGCATTTCGTCTGAGCGGAAGTTGCATGCGGCTTTATTAGCTTTTAATGGGAAAGTTATGAATGGGACAAATTTGGGCGATCAAAAAGCAAATGAGTTCTAAGACAGCGCAGCTACCCACACACACACACACACACACACACACACATGAGCTGTGATATTGATGGCTGATCGGATTGACGCTTTTGGCGCATTGACAGCGAGTCAATTGTTGTCGTCTCGTCGCCTGCCAGCGAAAGAACTGCGAAAGCAAAACAAATTGGTGAAAGTTGTTGCGCGGCTCGAGAAAGACTTCTTGGCCATTCGTCGCCCGCTTTGTTTTGCGTTCAATTCGCGTTCTTATTCGCCAAAAAGGTTCTCTTTAGCTTCAGCTTCAGCTTCAGCTTCAGCTTTACCTCGCTCTGCGCTCTGCGCTCTACGCTCTGCACTCTGCGTGCGAGCCATATTACAAAAACGGTCGTTGAACCTGTGCAGCGGAGTTGCTGTTGCTGTTGCTGTTGAAACTCCCAGCATTTCGTTTTTCATCTGTAATAATTTGGCGTGTAAACAGCGACGCCATGGAGTCAACGACTTCTGT